TCATCTGTTGGCCTGGAGCATCTGTTGAGAGAGGTAGGGCAGATCTATGAAGCTCTGCACTTAAGGAACTCAAAGAATGAAAACGTTGTCAAACTGTCCCAAATGGCAGCAGAGCTGATGGTTTCGGGATATCCCGTGGAGCTGATGGATGGGGATGCTTCTTACCTGCCCCTGCACTGGGTGGGAGCAATCTTTGACAGCCTCATTGAGAGGCTGGGGGACAAACGAGTGTTTGTTCTCTCCGTGCTCGGCATCCAGAGCACAGGGAAGTCAACCCTGCTGAATGCCATGTTTGGGCTGCAGTTCAATGTCAGCGCGGGGAGATGCACCCGGGGAGCGTTTATGCAGCTCCTGCCACTGGACGAGCAGCTGCAAGAGGACGTGGGCTTTGATTACATGCTGGTTGTTGACACAGAGGGCCTTCGTGCCATAGAGATGGCCAATAAACAGTCCCTGAACCATGACAACGAGCTGGCCACCTTTGTCATCGGCATCGGCAACATGACCCTGATCAACATCTTTGGGGAAAATCCCTCAGAAATGCAGGATGTTCTTCAGATTGCTGTGCAGGCTCTTCTGAGGATGAAGAAAGTAAATCTTTCCCCCAGCTGCCTCTTTGTCCACCAAAACGTGGGAGAAGTTACTGCCAAGGAGCAGAACATGGAAGGACAAAGACGTCTTCAGGAAAAGCTGGATGAAATGACCGTGGTAGCTGCCCAGCAGGAATGCTGTGACGTCTCCTCCTTCAGCGACGTCATCCGCTTTGACGTGAACACCCACATTCACTACTTTGCTCACCTGTGGGAAGGAAACCCCCCAATGGCACCACCCAACCCCACCTACAGCCACAACATCCAGCAACTGAAGCGCAAAGTTCTCCAGGCTGCCAGGGAGTCCCAAGGCAGCATTTTGACGCTCTCCAGCCTGAAAGTCCGTATTGGTGACCTCTGGAATGCTTTGCTGAACGAGAACTTTGTTTTCAGCTTCAAGAATTCACTGGAGATTGCTGTGTACAGGAAACTGGAAACTGCCTTTAGTCAGTGGACCTGGAGGCTCAGGAGTCACATCTTAGACGTACAAATGAGACTCAACAACAGAATTCGGAACGGGGACTTGCAGCAAGTCACCACAGAACACCTGGAAGGGCTCGTGCAAGAGACAAGTGATGCCATCGTGAAAGACATGGAAAAGTATTTCAGGGAAGATAAAAACTGTGAGATGCTGGTCCAGTGGAAAGGCAGCACAGAGCTGAAGCTGAAAGAACTAAAAGAGAATCTTCTTCATGAAACTCGGAAGAAATGTGAGAATCTCATTGAACTGCAGAAGACCCAGAGTAAAGTGGACGCAAGGAAGTCAGAATATGAAGACGAGCTCCTGAGAAAGAGCAGGGAGTTGGCTCTGACGCTGAAAGGCAAGAGCCTCAGTGAGATACAACTGAGAGACAAGTTTACTTCTCTCTGGGCCGAGTGGATTACTGAAGTCTCCCGTGCTGCTCCCCCACTGGAACGGGTGGATATCGATGCAGAAATAGAAGATGTCCTTCTGGAGCATTTTAAGGAGCCTGGTTTCCATGCACGGATCAGGTCATTTCCCAAACACAGAGGATTTTCCTTGGACTTGAAGAAACATGTCACAAAGAAAAAGGGTTGGAAAACATACCTCCCATGGAATGTTTCCAATGCTGATGTGATCTTGCAGGACATCACAGACAACATCATAGATCGTGTGTGGGCAAACATTGATAAGAAGGAACAGGAGAAACGGGATTACAGTCGAACCTTTATTCATGAAATACTCCATGAAGTACAGGAAGGTGTGAACTCCGTCCCCAGCGATGCACAATTTAGGGTTAACAAAGATTACATCATAGATTTATCTCTGTACCTCTGCAGAACGGCAGCAGAAAGGTTTAAAGCCATGCACAAAATGTTCCAGAAGGCAAATGACCCAGTCGTCTACCTGAACAGCAAGAGAGAAGATTTCTTCACATGTTTCCAGATTTCCTGCCAAGGAGCCACTTCTGTCACAGCTTTTGCTGTTTTCCTTTGTGACAAGCTTGCCCCAGCTCTTCGCCGGGCCGTCTATGAGAGGACGGCTAAAGCCATCGCTGGGGACATGCAGGGGAAAGTCCCAGATTTCCAGGGCAACAGAGCCAATCTGGATGTTTGTATCCTGAGATTCCTGGCACAAGAAGAAAACTTCCAGTATTTCAAGCAGTACCTTGAACATCCAAAAGAGTTTTTTCAGTGGTACATTGAGAGACGTGTTGAGAGTTACTGTTTAGGTGAGAGCCGGAGGCTGCAGAACTTTTTAGATTCCTCCCTTGATGTTCTCTATGGAAACATCCTGTCAGCTGTTGCTTCATCAACCCAAAGGGTCAAAGACAGAAAAGACCAAAAGGACAAAATCTCTCTCTGGCTGGATGAATTTTGCAGGGAACTGACAGAGCTGATCAACTTGCCCAGAAGTGACCTGAAGGGCCTCGAGCATCAGGAGATCACAGACATCGAGTTCCTGAGCAAAGCCATGGCAGAAGCACTGCCTGCCATGGAGAACGAGCTCAGGGGAAAATTTGCTGTTGCTGATCTGAGCTGGTTTGAAAGGAAGCCTCACACCATCCTGGCAGAGCAGTTTTCGGGGTGCTGGGAGCAGTGTCCCTTTTGTGGGGCTGTCTGCACAAACACCATGCAGGGACACGATGGAGACCATCAGCTTCTCTTCCATCGACCAGAAGCTTTGACGGGAGAAATTTGGCACCAAACAGATCACCTGGTCATTGAGATTTGTTCCAGCCTCGTTGCAAGTGACTGTCTATTCCAAAAGGGTGCTAGCAAATGGACCCCCTGCAAGAGATACCGGGATGCAGGACCTCCTTTTTCCAATTGGAAAATTCTTCCTGATCCATCCATGCAAGCCTACTGGAAATGGTTTGTGTCGCATTTCAGGGCCAATATAGAAACCTGGCATGGTAAGAAATTTCAAGGCAGAGGAGAAATCCCTCAGGCCTGGCAGAGAATTACCAAGTGGGAAGCACTTGCTGAGCTGGACAAGCCTTAGGCCACGTCGATGCAAGGAAGATGAAAGAAGATGAAGGAAGAACCTCCACGGCTTTGCAGTTGAGCAGAACAGAGTACAAGGCTGTCCACAAAATGCTGTTTCAATGCTTGTGCTCTCAAGCCCCATGAAGACAATGGGATCCAACTGCTCACAAACTGGGTGAAATAAGGTGCGTTACTCCGGCCGTCGCTCAGAAACTCCCTCGCTTCCTGATCAGCCAGAATCCTCTTCCCTTCCTGCTGTAAACATTTCCCTCTGCTTTGCCCTTGAGCAAAAGAAAAACCCTCCCACGGCTGCTCAGTCTCATGGCCAAGATGGAGCCCAAGTGCCAGGGGAAGGGCAAAGGCAGCACGAGAAAGCCCCAGTTGGATGAGCTGCTCTGAGGAAATAAGGGGCAGTGAGCAAAGCCCAGCTTTCCTGCAGCACTCAAATCCCAGCACAAAGGGGGAACACTGTGGTACTGGGAAGATCATGGGACCCTCCAGTACCTGTCAGCCGAGGGACAATCCAGGTGTTCTGCTGCAGAGCCAACAACCACGTCCAACCCCCTCCTCAGGTGCCAAACCACGACCCCCCCTCCCGTTAGGTACAGCAAGAGAACTTTACACCAACCAGAAACAAAAGGTAATTACAACTGAAGCCACTCCAGCTCCACCTAAACACAAAGAATTCGTATGAAAGTAAGTTGGGGATAGGGGGAAAATTGAGGAAGACTCCCCCGAACCTGCTGGGATCAGCTGAGGGGTTGAATCTGCTTCCCCCCCACCCCAGGGACGCCTGTGGGGTGAGAAATACACTCTGGGCAGGTTCAACGCTGCTTTAAGGAGCAGAGCTTTGGTCGGGCTCCCCCCAGAGGATATTGGCAGATTGCTTCGTGTTCCACCTTGGCCTTGCTTCCCAGAGCCCAGATTGCTTTCAAACACAGTTTTGCAGCCAGACGCTGCCGCCAACGCCCACGAACCTTATTAACCTGTCCCAGGCGGTGCTAATAAAGAGTGTGATTCCAGGAACTGGGAGAGGAGTCCTTTCAGTCGCCAGCAGCAGGTCCCACCTTGGCAGGGGCAGGGCCGGCTGAGGCAGTGCTTTAACTCCCTGCTCCGGAGGGCCCTGCGTGTGCCCAGGGCAGCCGTCCCTGCTCAGGGGCCTGGGCCTGCTGCACTTCCCTCCAGCTCTCAGCCCCACCGGCAGCTGCTCCTGCCCTTGGCCTGGCTGTTGAGCAAAAGCCTTTGCCGTGCCCCCTGTGCAGGATCCCGTGGCCCAGCAGCTTCCTCCCAGCCCCCGGGGCAGCGCCGGTGCTGTCCAGGCAGCCTGGGGGCACCGGAGCCGCGCTCTGGAGAAGCTGGGACCAGCTGGGGCTGCCCCGGGGACGGCCGTGGGGGTTGGAACTGAGGTCGCAGTGCCCCTGCCGGGCTGCCAGGGAGCCAGGAGGGAAAGCAAAGAGCTGCTGGCAGGGGGTGGGACTGGAAAGCCCAGTAGGGACTGCCCGGGGGTCTGTCTGATGCACCCGCTGGGAAAGAGGGGGCTGGGCAAGGCAGGGGACGGGGCTGGGCTGACAGGCTGGGAGGAGGCCGGGATGGGGCTGGAAGGCGAGATAGGCAGATCTGAGTGGACCAACTTGGATTTCTTTCCCTTCTCCCCTTTACTTTCTTTTCCTTCCCTGCTCCTTCTGCCTCCCTCTGCTCTGGAGCCAGGCTGGGAGAGCTGGGGGTGCTCCCCTGGAGAAGAGAAGGATCCAGGCAGACCTGAGAGCCCCTTCCAGAGCCTAAAGGGGCTCCAGGAGAGCTGGAGAGGGACTGGGGACAAGGCATGGAGGAACAGGACACAGGGAATGGCTTCCCACTGCCAGAGGGCAGGGAGAGATGGCAGATAGGGAAGGAATTCTTCCCTGGAAGGGTGGGGAGGGGCTGGGTTGGGATTCCCAGACAAGCTGTGGCTGCCCCTGGGTCCCTGGGAGTGTTCAAGGCCAGGCTGGACAAGGCTTGGAGCAACCAGGGAGAGTGCAAAGTAAGGGGAGTTGAACTAAAGGTTCTTTGAGGTCCCTTCCTACCCACACCAGTCCATAATTCTAGGATTCACCTTCTCCAGACAAGGGATGTGTTGCACAACAATGGATTTCTGTGGGAATTTCAAGTAGAGGAGTGTATCTCACAGAGGAATATTTTTACATGTCCTATACATGACAGAAAATGCAGAAATCACAGCTCCAGGCCACAGGTTTGTCAGAAATTAAAAATTCAGGACCAGTTCTGTGAGGGTAAGAAACAGGCACCTGATAACAGCATTTATGCTCGATCCCACAGTCAGTCCAACAGATCACGGTACCTGAATCACACTGAGGAGCCTCTCTGGGCAACTCCCACTTTCCTGGGCTCAGTTCCTTCTCCAAACATTTAACCCGCAACCTAAAAAGACGGGGTAAAAGGAAGTTTGTCTGTTTGTTTTTTCCTCCAAGAAAGCAGAGGTTTTCCACAGAAAAATTAAATCCCTCGTATTTCACAGACACAACACGGCGCTGCTTTTGCCCTGGTGGTGTCTCCCGCTAATCCCAAGCGCTGGAGCCGCACCCTCCGTGTCCCAGCAGCCGCTGTTCTGGAGCAGAGCGCAGCCCGGCCCGGCCCAGCCCCGCTGCCCGCACAGCCCGGGGCCGCTGCGCGCCGGGGCTCCCCCACGGGCCCCGCGGTCCGGCCCGGCCCCCGCTGGACGCTTCCCCCGGGCCCAGCCCGGCGCCCCCGAGCTCCCACCTGTCCCGGGCCGCGGTCGGGGGGTCCCGGGGGAGTCCTGGGGGGTCCGGGTGGCTCCAGGGCCGGCGGGGCTGCTTCGGTCCCGGCCGCGCTCCAACGGTCCCCCTGAGGGGATCGGGGCGGCCTGAGAGTCACAGCGTGCCCCGAGAACCGTCCCCTCACAGCTGAGACACAGCCCGCCCTCACAACCGTCCCCTCACCCCTCACACACACAGCCCGCCCTCACAGTCCCCTCTCCCCTCACACACACCGCCCGCCCTCACAACCGTCCCCTCTCCCCTCACACACACAGCCCGCCCTCACAACTGTCCCCTCTCCCCTCACACACACAGCCCGCCCTCACAACCGTCCCCTCACCCCTCACACACACAGCCGACTCACAACCGTCCCCTCACCCCTCACACACACAGCCCGCCCTCACAACTGTCCCCTCTCCCCTCACACACACAGCCCGCCCTCACAACCGTCCCCTCACCCCTCCCACAAACAGCCCGGCCTCACAACCGTCCCCTCACAGCTGAGACACAGCCCGCCCTCACAAACCGTCCCCTCTCCCCTCACACCACACAGCCGCCCTCACAAACCGGTCCCCTCTCCCCTCACACAACACAGCCCTTCCCTCACAACGTCCCCTCTCCCCTCACACACACAGCCCGCCCTCACAACCGTCCCCTCTCCCCTCACACACACAGCCCGCCCTCACAACTGTTCCCTCTCCCCTCACACACACAGCCCGCCCTCACAACCGTCCCCTCACCCCTCACACACACAGCCCGCCCTCACAACCGTCCCCTCACCCCTCACACACACAGCCCGACTCACAACCGTCCCCTCACAGCTCCATCCACAGCCAGCCCTCAGTCCAGCCCCTCAGCTCCAGCCCCTCAGCACTCTACCAGTCCCCTCTCAAGCTCAGACCCTGGTGCAGTTTATCACTGTCGGACACTTGGAGAAGAAGCAGCTCCCCCGGGGAGCCATTAGAGCCCCTTCCAGTGCCTAAAGGGGCTCCAAGAGCGCTGGGCAGGGAGTCTGTACACGGGCCCGGGGTGCCAGCGGTCGCGGAACGACCCCACGGCGCCGCAGGGCAGGGTCGGATGCGGCGTTCCCGGATCCCTTTTTCCCGCTGTTCCCGCCGCCCTCCCGCGCGGGGCCCTCCCGGCCGCCAGGGGGCGCCGCGGCCGCGGGGCGGGGCGCGGTGACGTCACGGGCACGCCGGGTGGGCCGATGCGGCGGCGGCAGCGCCGGGAGCGGGAGCGCCGGGAACACCGGGATAACAGGGATCGCCATGGAGTACGTCAGCCCCGAGCAGCTCGCCGGCTTCAGCAAGTACAAGGTACTGCCGGGCACGGGCGCCGGCGGGCGGGCTGCGCTCCGGGGCGCCGCGGGGCCTGGCGGCGGTGGGGGTGGAATGAGGGGCTGCCGGGCCTGGGAGCGGGGTCTGGGAGGGGGTTTGGGGTACATCGGGCGGGGGGGGGATGCGGCGGGGCCGGGAGGGTGGGGTCGGGCTGGGGCTGCCGCGGGGAGGGCTTGGGGTTTTGGGGAGGGAGGGCTGGAGGGGGACACGGGATTTTTGGGCGGGGGCTGCAGGAGGACACGGAATTTTGGGGTGGGGGGGCTGCAGTGAAACTCGGGTTGCAGGGTGATCCCGAGATTTTGGAAGGGGGGCTGCAGGGAGACTCAGGCTGCAGGGAGACCTTGGGTTTGGGGGGGGGGGGCTACAGGGAGACTGAGGCTGCGGGGGACCTTGGGTTTGGGGGGGGCTGCAGGGAGGTCCGGGGTTTGAGGAGGGGGCTACAGAGAGACCCGAGATTTTGGGGGGAGCGGGGCTGCAGGGAGACTCAGGCTGCAGGGAGACCCGGCATTTGGGGGGGCTGCAGGGAGGTCTGGGATTTGGGGAGGGGGGTCTGCAGCGGGGCCCGGGGTTTGGGGAGGGGGTTGCAGCAAGACCTGGGTTTCGGGGGGGTTGTGGGCAGTGAGACCCGGGGGGGGTGGGCATTGAGAGCCCGCATTTGGAGGGGCCTGCGGGGAGACCTGGGGTTTGGGAAGGAGGGTTTGCATTCCCGGGTTTGGAGCGGGGGTGGGGGCTGCAAGGACACACGGGGTTTAGGGGGGACTGCAGGGAGACCTGGGAGCTTGGGGGGCCTTAAGAGAGACCCGGGGTTTGAGAGGGAGGGGCTGCAGGGAGACACGGGGCTGGGGGGGACTGTGGGCACAGCGAGGACCAGCGTGGGGAAGGTGGGATCGTGTGAGATGTGGGACCCCTCCCTTGCTGAAGAGGTCAGGGGACCGTGCTGTGCCCGGGTGGGGCAGTGGCACTGTGACCCCAGCCCAGGCGTCCCTGGGGGGGACACACCTTCACAGCAGAGTGGGGGGATCACATTCAGTGCGTGTGGCCCCCCCAGCCTGTCCCTGGCAGTGGGGGGCATTGCTGGGGACCATTAGGGAAGGAGCTGTGGCAGCTGCCCCGTGTCCCCCCCTCCTCCTGGGCTGGGCTGGGCCCAGGGAGGCAGTGGTGGCCTGTCAGCACACACAGAGAGGTCTGTGGCCACCCCCCCTCAAAGGGACAGCAGAGGGGGGGCTCTGGGTGCCCTGGGAGCACATCCAGCCCAGGAACTGCCCCACCTTGAGCTCCTGCCCCGGGGCTGCTCCATGCAGTCACACCCACGGAACCCACACTGGCCCCGTCTCCTCTGCCAACTGTGCCTTGTTCAAAGCACTGGGAGCCCTGGAAGGAAGTGCTGGAAGTGCAAAGAGGCTCTGCCGTGGCACTTAAATCCCTGGGGGCTGACCTTGGGCCAAAGGAGGTGACACCCTTAGCACAGGGAGCACTGGGTGCTGTGTTTACGTGGAGATGAGGCTCTTTTCCATATTTTTTTCTTCTCCCACCCCAGCAGTGAAGCAGAAAGGCTTCACCTCACCTTCTTTGCTTTGTTGTTCTTGGATCCATCATGTTGGGCCACGTTTGCAGTCATCCCTCCCGGGTGGTCTGTGAGGTGTCATTTAAGACTGTGGGACAATCAGGACAAGCCTGATGCCTGCAGGGAGCAAAGCTCCTCCTGGAGCAGTCCCTGGGGGCAGGAGTGGCCAGGCCTTGCTCTCACTCTCCTCCTGCACACTCGGAGCTGGTGAGGGGGAGGGAGGTGGGCCCGGGAGAGCGAGCTGGATGGATGTGACACAGCTGCACGGGGCTCCCTGGGCCAGGCTGACGATGGTGGCTTGGTTTGGGTGCTGGAGACCAGTGAGCAGAGCCCCCCAGTCACTGGCTTGGCTCCTGCAAACACAAGGCTTTGGTTAAAGAGGGAGCCTGTCGTGGGTTCAGCCCGTTCCCACTCGTGGGGGGGCTGCCTTCCCTCTCGGCAGCTGTGCAGTGAGAATTGGGGTCTCCAGCTGCAGCAACCCCCTGGCTCGTGTAGCAGGCACCAAAACCTGCTCCTGGGTTTTTCCTGAAGACGGTTCTGGGGGAAATGGTGCTGCAGTTAAACCTGGGAGAGGAGCCCTGGGAGCCGAGCGGGGCGAGGAGGGAGGTCCCACATGGCACAGAAGGCACTTGCTGTCCCCAGTTAGGCACTGGTGGCGTGTTCCCTGGCCTGGGTTTGGGTGGCACAGGCTGAAATGTGGGACCTGTGTCCCGAGGGCAGGGGTTCTGCTGCCTGGCAGGAGGAGCTTTGCTCCTGAGCCTGTGGTTTTACTGGGTCAGTGGAGACTTTGATAAGAGTGGGCGGGTTCATTTAGTGCTCAAAGAGCATCATCTCTGCCTCTGTCCTGCTCCCTTCCTTCCTTCCTCTGTCTCTTGTTTCCTTGGGAACCCTTGTTCTTGGCTGTTTTAGCCTTGAGGAAGTGGCTGATCCAGCACAATTCTCTGGTACTGGGTCACATATTCCAGCCTTGCTTTAGGCATTGAGGCTTGTTGTGCTCTGCCCTGTTCAGATTCCAAAGCTGGTTGACCTTATCAGGCTCCCAAATCAGGTTTGGATTGGGAGGGACCTTAAAGCTCATCCAGTCCCACCCTCTGCCATGGGCAGGGTCACCTTCCACTAGCCCAGGTTGTTTCAAGCCCCATCCAGCCTGGCCTTGGACACTTCCAAGGATCCAGGGGCAGCCACAGCTTCTCTGGTCACCCTTCTGCAGCCCCTGATTCTGGCTCAGCCTTTAAGCTGTGCCTGGCAGAAGCTGCTCTGGCCACACACCATCCACACGAGTGGATTTTGGGGTCCTGGAGGAGGCAGCATGTCCAGGGAAGGAGCACGTCCTCGCAGGGGAGGTGGTGTCCCTGCAGCTGCTCCAGCAGGAGCAGAGGAGCTTCGTGCAGGATGATCCACAGGTCCCTGCAGCCCTGGCTGGGTGTCCCCTGCCGTGGCTGCCGGGAGCGCAGACGGGGAGCAGCGAGTCGGGAGCCTGGATGGTTTCAGCTTTGCAGAGTGAACGTTTCTGCAGGGGGGACAGGCAGGGGTGTGCTCCTGCTGGCACAGGCTGGCAGGGGGAGAGGGACCCGTCCTTTGGCTGCTCTTGAAGGGGCACCAAAGAGCTGCTGTGCCCAAGGAAGCCACGTGGCACAAGGTGCTGTCGGAGAGGGTTCAAAGGTTTAATGGTACTGGAGACGTTTTCCTGGGGGTGTTGCTGGCAGCGGCTGGACATGATCCCGGGTGTGCCCAGGGGGGCACGAGGCCAGTGGCCCCGGGGCTGTGCCAGCACTGCTGGGGCAGCAGGGCCAGGGCAGTGCCCTCCCTGTGCCGGCACTGCTGGGGCACCTCCAGTGCTGGGGCAGCTCTGGGACCTCACACAGGAGACACAGGGAGGGGCTGGAGCGTGGGCAGGGAAGGGAAGGGAGCTGGGAAGGGGCTGGAGCAGCA